GGCGCTCGGTGGTTTCGAACGTCAATGCAGCCAGCGGGAAGCATGCTTTACTAAGCACTGATGACGGAAGAGGAGATGGTTGTTGGGATGAAATAGTAGACACCTAGTGTAAGAGATGGGAGGGTGAGGTCTGGAGAAGGGTGGCAGACAAGGGCAGGGGAGTGAGTCAGCGGTGCCTTACTTTGGCAGGGCTTGATCAGTGCGAATCGGGATCGGGAAAATGTAGATTGCAATCAATCAACACAAAGAAGACGCTGCAACTTGATTCATGATTTATTTCCACTAGAGTTACCGCACTTATCGGCAAAGAAACGCACCTGGTTGGCCGGTCGATGTCCAGGCCGCGGCGTAGTGGGAAGCGCGGTAATTATTCTTACCCAGTTTCGGAGAAATAACTTAGGTAGAACACTGAACCTGGAAAATATCGAAAGCACGTATCCGTTATCCGCCCTTCTTATCTCGCCAGTCTGCAAGCAGAATGCCGTTCAATTGACCGAGTTGACTTTTCGCTCGAGAAAGGTCACGAAGTGGTATCTCATATCTTATAGCACCCAGAGGTAGATTGAATCAAGCGGAGGCGCCTTAGTCAAATAAAGCAGGCTCTAGGTTAATAGATACACCGCGAGAGAACTTAGGGAAGGGATGACGGAACAACTACGTGCCTTGTTCGCGAAAGTTGTAGTTATTGCTAGGTACCTGCGTGCCGGCTGATAGGTCTCGCCTTAATGATGTGCGACGGGTGAGCGGCAGGAACACAGCACAGTGTTCGCCAGCCGGTTGCTTGTATTGCGGGCAATCGAGGTGCCCCTGCTATCGGTGGAATCCCGTGGCATTCCCGCCCAGCCAATCTGACACGCCAAGTCAGGGGTCTGACGAGCTCACAGTGTGGATCAAGGCACGCCACTTGGGCCCAGTCCTTAAGGTACAGATAACATCTGAAGAATTCCTACGGTGCACAAGCCCGACGAAGGTGATAGCGAGTAAGGGCGGCAATCAGGAAGGGAAGAAACCTAAAAAAACAAGAGATATGGTCAGGTCCCTGGCGCCCCTGGTGCTTTCCCTTCCATGCACGTGCCGTCGTCGCGGCAGAGATTAAAAAAGAAAAAAAAAGGGGCCCAATCAATTCTGAAATGGGGCTTGTTCTGCGTATCGCGATTGCGATTGCGCCATGTCGCAAGGGAGAAGGGAAACAAAACATATCTGGAGATATCGCTTACTATCACTAGCAGGAGGAGCATCATCTGATGCAAGGGAGGTAGGTAAACACGAGGTGGACGGCGAAGGATTGAGGGAGGGAGGGAAAAAAAAAACCCCCATACATTCATCGTCCAATCACCGGTGACATCAGATGGTTACGTATCCCTCCGTTTGAGAACCAGCCCAGTGTTGCGCTGCACCACTATCCTCCTAGTGACTGCGTACCATCCCACCAATCTCACCCGTGGACGCTAATAAGCGGCACATAAGTCAGGTCTGCAACTGGTATCTGCAGACGTTTCGAGGCTTGGCTGGCACTCAAGGTAACCAATGGAGGCTTCCACTACCTTCCCTCAGTAATCCAATACGAGTCCGCAATTCTCTTCGTCTCTTTGTCCGTCCACTCGTGTCCTTTTTCCCTTCCCTCCGTTACAAGTGCATCCCCATTCCGTCCCTGTCCGTCTTCGACTCTTCGTCTGCGTCGGCACCAGCTCCAGCAGCAGCATCAGCATCCTTGCAAGTTCCATTGCAAGACTGCTCCCCAGCCAGCCCACTCTAGCCAAGTCCACCGTCTGCGGACACCCACCTTCCATTCGCAATTACGGAGCACAGTGTCCAGTGTCCACTCAAGTCCAGTTCGGTCCAAAGTCAAGGTCGCCCGTCTCGTCTCCAGACTTCCCCCCCTTCGTCTTGGCCTTGGCTCCGTCCCCCAACAGTGACACGACCAAATCAATCGAAGCAATCAATTGCCTACACTGCATAGCACCTTCGCTCTCGACACCTTCCTCCCTCTCTCCTGACAACCTCAAGTCCAGGATGACCGACGCTCGCTTTAACCCTTCTGAATTCATCCATTGACATCAATCCTCAATATCCAACAGCAGCTGCCCCCCTTACCTGTTTTATTAATACAAACGCTGGTCCTGTTCTCTTCTCGTTGTACCAGTACCTGCCAGGCTACACCTGTACCGAACACTCTCGACTCGAACAATCCTGCCGAGTCGCCTTCAAGAGACCACCACCGACGACACAGCCGTCCCTCCCTCGATCGCGCCGAGTCGAAACACCGGAATCCTCATCGCAACCGCTTGTTCCGTCACTCGCGACGTTGTCTACCGAAAGCATATCTCTCCCTCACTTTAAGTACAATCACCACGACGCAGCCTGACTGCGCCTGCCGCTCCTGATGGGGAAAAAATGTACGTCCGCCACCGACAACAGATAAGCACCTTCGCGTGCAATACACTCTGCGATCCGGTTTGCTGACTCGAGCCATCACACAAACAGGGCGATACGGAATCATCTTCGATGCCGGCTCTTCGGGGACGCGCCTCTACGTCTACAAATGGAAGGATCACGCCAAGGCCATCAAGCATGCCTCTGTCGAGGAACTGCACAGCCTGCCCAAAATCAAACTGCAAACGAGCGAAAAAATTCGCCCTGGCGTGTCTTCATTTGCGGAGAAGCCCGATGAGATTGGTCGCGAACACCTCCAGTCTCTTGTTGATATCGCCCTGAAGGAAGTCCCCGACAAAAAGGTCGCCGACACGCCTGTCTACCTCATGGCCACCGCCGGCATGCGCCTTCTCCCCGAACACCAGCAAAGAGCTCTCCTTCGAAACATGTGCTCCTACTTGCAGGAGAACACCAGGTTTTCGTTACCAGACTGCAATACCAATATCCAGGTCATCTCGGGTGAGACTGAAGGCCTGTACGGATGGCTCGCGACAAACTACCTGCTGGGCGGTTTTGACCATCCAGACAAACACAAGCACGGCAAAAACCATCACACATACGGCTTTCTGGACATGGGGGGTGCTTCGGCACAGATTGCTTTCGCCCCTAACGCCACTGAAGCAGAGAAGCACGCAAACGACCTAAAGCTGGTCCGTCTCCGAACGCTCGACGGATCCACCATCGAACATCGCGTCTTTACAGCCACTTGGCTTGGCTACGGCGCGAACCAGGCGCGCGAGCGATACGTTGACAGCCTCAGGGAGCAATACGGCAAACCCGATAGCCTCGAAATCCCGGATCCATGCTTGCCCACTGGCCTGCGGTCTACCCTCACAGGAGATCCGATCGGCATAGAATCATCAGGAAAGGAATTATCGCTCGTCGGCACCGGACGATTCGACGAGTGCCTTCGCAAAACCGAACCTCTTTTGGGAAAAGACACGCCCTGCGACGATGAGCCATGCCTCCTCAACGGTCAGCACGTGCCAAGCATTGATTTCGACGTGAATCATTTTGTCGGCGTGTCTGAATATTGGCACACGACTCATGGTGTTTTCGGCAAGGGCCACAAAACGGCATACGACTTGGCAACCTACCAGAAGAACGTGGTAGACTTTTGCACTCGCGACTGGACCGAAATCGAGGCTAGTATCGAAGCGAGGAAGAAATCGGCCGCGCAGAAAGCTAGGAACGCGCAAGAGGCCTGCTTCAAGGCTTCGTGGCTCATCAACGTCTTGTACGAAGGCATCGGAATCCCTAGGCCCGGCATCGAACACACCCCGAATCCCGGTCTCAACGTGACGAAAGGCACCATCGAAGATGCCAAGGAGAAGGGATTCGTCGACCCATTCCAACCCGTGAACGAGATCGATGGCGTCGAAGTCAGTTGGACTCTCGGGAAGATGGTACTGTATGCGGCTGGTCAAGTACCCCCTCAGGGAAGTGCGCTGCCTGTCGGCTTCGGCAGCAACGTCGCCGGTGCCACGGACTTCGAGCCTGCAGGATCTAAGTTCTCCCCGGTCGCCACAGGTGGAGACGACGACGATGACTGGGATGCGGATGAGCTCCTGGACAAGGCCAAATCGAAGTCGGGTTCCGGCGTTTTGCTGTTTGTTCTGATTGTTCTTGTTCTCGGCTTTCTCCTGCGCAAGCGCGACCGTCGCACTCGGTGGTTCGGCAGGCTAACCTCTGCCCTCCGCGGCAGCCGACGCCCCGGCAGCCCTCGGAAACCTGGCCGCGGCTTCTCTCTTACCAACAAACTTTTCGGACGGTCTTCCGCGACGTATGAACGTGTTTTGGAGGATGGCGATGCCGATCAATTCGAGCTGGGCGACGTGGATTCGGACGAGAACGAGCAGTCAGACAGCAGCGAAGGTTCGAGGGCTGGCCGGTCCTCGGGTCTTGCGACACCGAAGCTCAATATCGAGCGATATGACGACGGACGCCCCCCCTTTTCCCTCGATCGGGGCGGCTTAGCGGTGCGAACGGAAAGCCGGGAGCGGCTTGTGCCGAGTATGGTGAACGCAGGGCGTCGGAGTCGCGCTGGAAGTCCCACGAGGATGAAGAGCCCACTCATGAAGCCCTTGGACGAGGACTAAGAATTGAAGGTCTGCGTTTTCCACACCATGTGCTCGGACTGTAACAATATGCATGACTAGCGAGGGAATGACGGCATAGGAGGGGTTTACGGTGTTTTATTCTTTCTATTCATGAGAGGGCGTTTTAGGCAAGGCGGGATTATCAGGGTATTCAGTCTTTGGCTTCTCCGGGCTGGGCGCAGCTCTTTGGCGTTTTGTCACAAGGCGCGTCACGTGTCGTTTATTAGATCAGATGATGTTCCCCCTCCCCCTTTGAAAGGCATGGCATCAAGGTTTTCAGGGTTAGGTTTCCCTAGGTAGCATGAGGCGTTGTTTTTACGCCGAACCGACATTCCTTTCCACAAGAATTGGATAGAAGCTGCCAAATTTTAGACATTGCTTGTTTATTTGGAACAAAACACCATGTGTCTTCAGGGTATCTAACGGAGGAAACGATGTTGATGGTTGTGCATGGCGTGAAATAAACCTTCAGTCTTGTGGTCTCTCGAGGAAACTCGGATCAGACCTCACGCGCGACTCAAACTTCTTCCACCACTCTTCGAAAGCTTTTAGTGGTACTACTTCGACGCCGCCGGGGCCCGCAGTGCCACTGAAGCTCGCAAGAAAGTTGAAGGCGTTCTTGATTATGTTTTGGGCCAGGAGCTGGGTTGAGGGCTGGGATGTTGTCGATGGATTAGCTGACTTGTTGGCCGAAAGCTCCTGGATGCGTGAAGCCACCGAGTCGGCTGGTTCGACCGAAATACCGATCATGACGTTGCCAGGGTTCTGCGCGTCCCCGTTGCCGGCGCCAATTTTGAAGGTAGCGCTCTCTTTGCCGGTTCCGATGCCTCCGAGGAATCTGAAATTCGGCGTCTGACCCGATGCGGCGGCGGCGGCGACATCGGAAGCCGTGGCGAAGTAGATGGCGGCGGCGGTGTCCGCCGGCAGCATAATGCCCGGCAGAAGCATGACGGTGATGTGGGAGAAGGGGCGGGCGACAGAGATGGAGTAGAGAAATGACGTGTCGGAGGGCGTTGAGGTTGGTTCGGTCAGCAACGGTTGGCCGGCTGGGACGATGCCGAAGAGGGGGCCAGACATCGTTGTTTTGGAACTCTCGGGGGCGAAGTACCGTACGCCTTGAATTCGTCGCGGGGGTCTGACTGATTGATCTGGAGGCCGTCGTCTATGGCAGCGGGATCGAGGACAACTGTGGACAAGTGCGGCTTTGAAAAAAATTGCCGCGGTTCAAGCAGTCCGGGACAAGGTCGCTCGCTGTAAGTAGATGCGGCCGCTGACCGGGGAAGGCTCTTCAATGACGGTAGTATGTGTATATGTATATATATACATATATATATGCATACACGGCAAGTGAAGTGTTGTATAAAGCCAAAATGATTCGTCTTGACTTGGAACTCATGCAAATGCGATCGAAAGGCAAAACATAGAGAGATTCGAACTGAGGTGGGCGTAGACGATCCTTATGGACGGCACTTATCGCCATACCGCAGGGTGGGGTGAGGGGCAGTAGGAAACCCCCAGATGCTGGGAGAATCCTCCATAAGGTAAGGTAGGTAGGTAGGTGCCTTATTCATTCAGGACCGCCGACCAACTCGGTAGATGCATACCCCGCCAGAGCTGAGTCGGAATCTTATCCGATTACCTACCAGCACTAACAGAGCGACTTTCCCAGAGCTTTCCGCTGAGATAACTTGGATTATTCTTTCACGTCATATCCCATATCGCTGAATTCACCCACCGGAAGAGGCTTGCAGATGCAGCGGCAGTTCCGGAGTGATTAGTTACGTGGGCACGTCCATGCTCGCGGGCTTGAAACCTTTTCGACAGACATCCCATCGACTCCGGATTCTCGCGCGCGTTCCGCGATCCAAAATGGCATCTTTCAGCAACATAGAACTCATCCGCCAGGTAGACTCGTAAGAGATGTCTCCGACCCCGCAAGACCAGACCTAATGACTGGGACAGGTACCCGTACGAGCAGGACACGGCTCGCTATGCTGAGACCGATGGGTCCATGTACACTCTCGTCTGGAAGGACGAGAAGGGCGATGTGCCCTTAGGTTATGTCCTGCCAAGAGTGGTGGAAAAGCTGGCAGAAGCACCCGCCAATGTGAGGGGAGACGTTCAGATTAACCCGATCACACGCACCGTCTCTGCTTTCCAGGCACCAACTCTGGAAGGTCGCAGCAAGCTGGCAGCCGACCTCTTTGATTTCTGGAGGATCAATGACGTCTTCCCTATCCTCCGAGGCTGGCGCGACGAGCTGTGGCCTGTCTATGGCCGTAATCGTGAACTACTCATCAACATGGAACGAGCCGCCTCTGGCTTGTTCGGCGTCATGAGGTACGGCGTCCACATGACTGCGTTCGTGCGCTGTCCGTCTGCGAGTCATGGTGTCAAGATTTGGGTTCCTCGTCGCTCCCCGACCAAGTCGACATTTCCTGGCATGCTGGACAATACAGTCGCTGGAGGACTGATGACCGGCGAAGACCCTTTCGAATGTGTCATCCGCGAGGCAGACGAAGAGGCCAGTCTTCCGGACCCGCTCGTCCGCAGCCGTGCAAGGCATGTCGGCGGCGTCACATACATCTACATCACCAAGGCAGAAGCAGGAGAGGTGGGGCTCATTTATCCGGAAGTCCAGTGGATTTACGATCTTGAGCTACCGGAGGATGTTGTGCCACAACCGAAGGACGGAGAGGTCGCCGAGTTTGACCTCTGCACTGTCGAACAAGTTCAGCAGAGCCTGGCACGAGGCGAATGGAAGCCCAACTGCGCTCTCGTTATGATTGATTTCTTCATCCGCCACGGCATCCTGACCAAACAGAACGAACCCGAATACGACCACATCCTGCGAAGAATCCACCGAGTTCTGCCATTCCCGGGACCTCACAACGAGGACCCTTCCCTAGGGGCCATCGATGGCTGAGGTCGCCGCAGTTCCGGGAGTGTCTCACGAGTTGCTTCGCCCGGTCAAGTCGCTTCCCCAAACGCTCTCAACTCCGAATCTCCCCAAAATCAAGCTTTGGTGGGCTCTTTTTTTTTTCCGCCGTACCGCGTTGTTCAGCGACAGCACCGACCGGAGCGGGAGGCAGTCGTCCGTCGCACATAGACATAGCGTTGTTCATCATTTCTTGATCAGCAGGTAGACATAATCGACTCTCAGCGGAGTGAGCTTCTTGTACGGGCCCTCGAGTGACATCAAGAGACCGCCGAACGAGACGTAAGCCTTGCTAGAGTGACGGAACCGTTAGCTGTTGTGTACTAGCCGCCAGTACCGCGCAGGGCGACTGCTTACATGGTCTGTCCGTCGTCGGCATCCTCGAACTTGTAGATCTTTCCGTAGCAAACGTAGTCAAACATATCCGCCAGGGTGGCTTCCCGATCTTGGCCACCCTTCGCGACATCTCTCCAGCCCTTCTCATCGTCTTTGCTTCCATCGTGAGCCAGGGAGGTAGCCAGAACAACGTGCAGGCTGTCGGAAACAGAAGCAGGGAACAGCTCAATGTTGATGTCGAGCGACATAATGGTCTGGTTGTCCGTCGAGGTGGCAGAAATGCGGGCGACTCGATCGTACTTAGATTGGTCGTAGGTGGTTACGGTGAAGGACTCCTCAAAGAGGGTCACGTCGCCTCCGCCCGACATGATGGCTGAAACTTCGAAGACGATTCGCGTGGGTGATCCTGTTTTGTTGAAGACTGAGTCCTCGGTCGTAATGCGCGATTGAGAGTCGTGAGAGGTGTCGCGCAACAGCTGTTGTGTCGCGGGCAGAGGGCGGGCTGGGAAGAAAGAAAGAAAAAAAAAAATCTCGAAATGTAGTTATCCAGCATAGGCTGCGATTGAGTTGTCCCTATCCCACCCAATTAAGGTAAGTAGGTAGGTACCTTATCCATCTTACTTCATCTGAGGCAGGTACACTGTGTGCAAAAACCACAGGCCGGCAGGCAGGTACGTACCGTACCGACCAGAGGTTTCTGAAATTCTTGTAAGTCACTCCCCGCCCACATCACCTCTGAACTCTAGCATCGACTTCTTCCATCGATAAATGCAAGTTCCCTATTTTTTACAAGGCGAGTATGTTGAGGCATATGCTTGAGCCAATTGCTGACATACTGAAGTGTACCTGTAGTGGTGACTCAACCAGAAAGCACGATTCCATTCGCCTGGCTCGCCTTTAGCCATGTCATTTCGCAAAAAGAATGTGGTCCTAGGCTCTTCAGCTCGGGGCTCAGCAAGAGAGTCCGTTGCCCACCGGCAAGAGGCATTACCTCCACCAGGAGTGCGCCCGTCGCCTCTGGACGGCCGCCTCACCACTTCGACAGGCACTGCTTCACTGGATCAACTACTGGCGGGACATTCTGGAGTACCTCTCGGATGCAGTATTTTGGTTGAAGAGTCGGGGACAACCGACTTTTCAGGGGTCCTTCTCAGGTATTTCGGTGCTGAAGGTCTTGTACAGGGTCATCAAGTTCATGTGCTAGGCCCAACTGAAGCATGGAGAGGGGAACTTCCTGGGCTGGGCAAGGCTAGTAGCAGCTCAAGCCACAGTCAGCCAAAGGCAGTTTCGAGTGAGAAGATGAAGATTGCTTGGAGATACGAGAGTCTAAGCAGCAGCAAGCCTGGCTCAGGTATGATGCCTTACTGGTTCCAGTACTCTTTCCGGAAGCCTGATCGCTGACTTGGTTCAAGTCGCAAATCCGGGAAGCGCAAACACGCAAGACAATTTCTGCCACTCGTTCGACCTTGCCAAACGTCTGCAGCTTGGCGACATCAGAGGCGAACTTCACGCAACACCATCCGGGCCGTCCCTGGCCTGGCTGCAGCCTTCAGGAGGGCAAACTTCTTCGTCGCCGTTGGAGGCCTTTATTGCCAACCTGTCTGTCAGGCTTAAAGCTTCTCCGCCGAGTGCCATTCACCGAGTTTTGGTGCCAAACCTGTTGTCGCCGGCAATCTACGGCTCATCAGTCTGCCGGCCTACGGATGCCTTACAATTTTTGCACAGGCTGAGAGCCTTATTGCGTCAGTACAGTGGAAATCTGACGGCGGTTGTGTCACTCTCGACGACGCTTTACCCGCGTTCAACGGGGCTCACGAGATGGATGGAGTTACTCTGTGATAGTGTATTGGAGCTCTTGCCTTTGCAACGTCAGGTTCATATACAGCCTAACACCAAGTCTGAGGACGTAGTACAGGGCATGCTCAAGGTGCATAGTCTCCCCATATACCACGAAAGAGGAGGGGGCTTGGAGGGCCAGTCTACGCGGGAGAATCTCTCATTTCGCCTGAGCAGCTCAAGTGGTCTCATTTTCAAACCGTACAGTCTCCCGCCCATGTTGGACGAGGAAGATAAGAAAGACCCAAAGGACGGGGGAAAGAAGGGAGAGAAAAAGCTCGAGTTTTGATACGCTGCTCACTCATCATGATGATAGAATATCGAAGTGATTGAAAAACAGAAAAAAACAAGAGGGAGGAGGAGAGGGAGGAGGGGATGGTTACGACAACTTTTCGGTTATACATAGATAACTCAATGAGCCAAATGAGAGATCAATCAGAATTCGGAGAGAACCTAGACGGGATGAAATGAAGGTGACGGACGGCAAAGTGTGAGGTAGGTAGGTACGTACCCGACCCAAGTATCGATCGAACTTTCCCCACTTCGTGGGACACATTCATTGAAATCCGCCGTCCCTCCCAAAAAAAATTTCTCCTCCTGTTTTCCTTTCTGACAACAACCACATCTGTCAAGGTACGTTGCCAATGGTTTTCTCACTTACCGCCTTCCCTGCGCCCATATGATTATACAAATAATCTCAATCAATCTGTCAATCCACTGACACTCTGTGACGACTTCTTTATTATAAGCGAATATGATTTTTCTTTTTTGTGGCTATTGCACATCCTTCCGTCCAGCATATGACAGCCCCGAATTACAGCTAACGTTTGCAAAGACAGCAAGGAAACCTCTGCAAGAGGAAGCGGACATGGCGTCTGAGGCATCTCATGCGCCTGTGCGCATCTCCAAGATTGCGGATCGTTACCTCGTCTTCGACGCTGAAGATGTGGCCGTGATCCGACGCAGTCACAATATGTGCTCGGTGCTAGTGGGCACCACGCCTCAGAACCCAACCCAGAATGTGTTTCTCAGCTTACCTCTGGAGTTGCTGCCCGAAGAAGCGAGTGTGTTGGTCGAGAAGAAGGTAGGCCGTCTAGTCGACGAGACGTCGCATCACCTATCTACCCTGCGGTCCACGGACAAGAGCACCCGTCAGGAGTATATCGGTCTTCTGAAGGACCGTCGGAACCAGGCACAGAAACTAGTGTCTGAAGAGCAGGCCAAGAAGGTTACGGAGCAGGCGCGCAGAGCTGCTGATGCCAAGTCGACAAGTGCCACGAAGTTGGGCGACCAAGGGCCCGCCACAACGTCGACACAGGACAAGTCGTTAACCGTGACCCTCACCACCAGCGGTGGCCTAGAGTCTTCAGCGACAGAGACCATGCCGGTCCTGCCTCAGCCTCCTCTCGGCCCGCTCCATCAGCACTTGCAGTCAAAGGGATACTTCATGACGCCCGGTCTCCGGTTTGGTGCCGACTACAGCGTTTATCCAGGTGATCCGTTACGCTACCACGCTCACTTCCTCGCCACGAATTACGAATGGGATGAGAAGATTCCGATGCTCGATGTCGTGGGCAGCGGTCGCCTCGGTACTTCGGTCAAGAAGGGTTTTTTGCTCGGTGGCGAGGTTGCTGCTGCCGAGGATGCTACGACAAAAGAGGTTCGCACATTTTGCGTTGAGTGGGCTGGGATGTGATTCAACGTGGATTGTGATCATGATTGAAGGTGCCAACGCTCGATGCAAGGCATAGGGACGTATGCGCCTGTGTACAAAAATAGTAAAGATACCCCTGACTTCTAATGAAAACATGTTGCTCTAGTACCTACCAACGCCAGTGTTAACCCTCGTTGCCCAAACCACTGTTTCCCAACCCATGAAAAGTAGGCATAGCCAGAGGGCTTCTCTCCTGTTCTCTGCCCCCTCAAGGCACGTAGATTCGACTAAAGCTTATGACTTCTCGACGGCAGCAAACACACTTGTCGAAGTTATTCATCGCCAATGACACACGGCAATCGTCGCAGAGACTAAGACACCGACACGGCCATACAATGATCGTCCTCGGAGAGCTCTGGCAGACAACACACTGAGGACCGTCAGGGCCCAGACCCGCCGCTCCCTCTGCCCATGTCGACTCGCCGTTCAACGCCCTGGAGGTGTGCATGCGACGGGACAACAGGAGCTGCTCCAGGCGCTGAGCCTCCTCGTCAGGGGTCATTCGACTGGGCCGGGAGATGATACGGCTCGCTCGTCCAACTGGATGCAAGATTCTTGTCCTTTGCAGCTGCTGCGACCTCCTGAACTGCGACCGAGTCATGATTCCGTCACTGCTCAGGTGTGCAGCCAGCGTATGCGCCTCTTCTCTCTCTTCGGGGTTGCTAGGGTGCAGCAAACGGGCCAGATCTGACAGCTGAAGCGAATCATCCGGTGTTGGCGTGGCTTCCCGAGAGACCCAGGACTTGGACTGTGTCGGCGTTCTCTGGCCCTCCTCTTCCGACTCCCAATCGCTGTCGGTATGAGGGTCGAATGAGATGACACTCGTTGTATCATCGTCGTTGGATGCTTCCGGTTCGTATTCGCCGCTGTTATCCGTAGAGCCCCAGTAACCGCCCTTAAGCCACCAACCGTAGAGTCGCGAATCCAGGTCGGCCTCGTCGAGGGGCGCCCAGCTTTTGTTTAGCCTCCATGCCTGCTGCCTGAACTCGGTCTCCACGTCAACAGCCTCGTTTATCGGGATTTCCATGCTAGATTCCACAGGGACAGCAGGAGCATCCAGACGAGACCCACCGTCGTCTCGTTTGGCATTGCCGGCGTCGTTTGTAACCTTTGGCCGGCGAGCTATCCATTGCAGAAACTGCGGTGGCCGAAAGCCCACTTTGGAAATGATTTTGAGAGCAGCAGTGGCCCACGCTCGAAATATGAGCCTGTTGATGTTCATGAGAAAGTCCAATGCCATGAGCCACCTTCCACTTCTTTCCGCAGCACCAACACCATCTCTCATCCTCCGTTCACCCGAACGGGACTTGGGAACCTTCTGCGCAGCCCGTTCGCGTGCGTATCCATTTGTCGTCATCAACTGATCGTCCTTGACAGGAACTAATCCAATAGTGCCGATGTTGTCGTACTGAGAGTCGGAGGTGTTAGCTCCAGTCCATTGTGCGCGTAGATCCTCAAGCTCTCGAAACCTCTCCTCCTCGAGCCACGTGTGCTGCCTCAAATTGACATCCCGATCCTCGTTTAGGTAAACAGCTTCGCTGGCCATCGTGATCGCGCCGAATCCGGTTCGCAGCAAGGCAGTATAAAAGTCCATCTCCATGCTTATGCGAATGTCTGACAGGGAAAGGTTAGCCTGCATATTTCCGTGGGCTTGAGCTAGTCGCTCTCGAAGGGTGAGGCGTTGGCCGGCAGTTCCTTCCGCTGTGGTGAGAGCAGCCAAGCCCAGCGCAAGCAGGTAAATGAAGAAACAGACGAGTATGCCACCGAGAACGAGAACATGAGGAATGAAGCCGATGATGCACACCGTGGGGAACCTGAGAAGCCCCTGCTTTGCCGGGTCGTCCAGAGAAAAAGTCACAGCGCTGTAGAGGATGCTTGCCATGAAACATAGCCCCCAAAAACCGGTGCTGACGAGGCGGAACTTGGATTGCAGGTTGAAAACACCTAGCACATGGCTCGTAACATGGCTCATAGTCGACAAGAAAGCCACCAATAGCACTTCGGGAGGCGTGTTGACCCTTCGGAGTATCATGGAGCGGCTTATAGCAATACTGCTGCTGGGATTCGAATTCATTTCCGTCGCTTGTGACTGCGTGAATAACCCCCAGCCGAGTTGATTGCTGATCGCGGCGTCGGCTTCGGCGAAAGCGAGGGAGTGCTCGAAAAGCGTCATGCCGGTCTCAGCTGACACTGGACGACCCTGGACGGCACACGACACGGTTTCGAGAAATTGGCTGAGGCAGAATGTCCCGAACAGCGGCCACAGCAACGATAACGAACCTCGCAACTCCTGTGTTGGGTCGGCTTCATCCGTGGGCACCATGCCAACCGCCACACATGACTCCTCGTCGGACGCCCCAAGCAGAAGCGTGGAGCTCATGGTGTGAAGGAAGCCACCGGCTTGTGTGAACATCAACTCGGAGCTTTTGTTTGTATTCCCCCAGCGCATTTCGGCGAAGTCGGGGGATGTCTGGCACTGCATGGAGCGAAGAAGGCCGCGCGCTTGGATCAGGAATAACAAGATAGGGAGGCTGCGCAGAAGGAGACGGACAGGCAAAGTCAGACGCAGTCGGCGCCTCGTAGCGGCAAAGATATGAGTGCGATTGAGAACAATGGCCATGGCGATACAGCAAAGGGCCCATTTGCTTGTCGCGTAGCTGAAAACGCTACCGAGACCCTTGGCGCCTTCCATGGTGAACTTGGGACTTGCGATTCCAGGATCGTGATCCGCCAGGATAGCAGGACCGGTTGCAGTCCCAAACCCATGGGAGTGTCCCACAGGAGGGGGTATATTCATGCTGTGGGCAGCAGTTGCAGCGGCGTGGGTAGTGTGATGTATTCCGGGTTCTGTTGCTTCAGGAATTATGCTCGGACCAAGGGCGTCGAGTGAGTCGGGGAGTGGTATATATGCTGTGAGCCTTTTAAGCATTCTCGGGCCAGCCCATAGCAGGTCCTCGATGGAAGGGGCGAGCTTCGTCACGTTGACGGCGTGGTGCAGTTGGTGAGCGGTCCACAGCGAGAGGTTCTGCAAGAACCCAGAATCGTCGAATGAAGCGGGTACAGGCGGCTCCGCCATGGTGCGGGAAGATGGAACTGGTTTAAAATCGAGCTGCAGCAGAGACAGCGACGAGGGCGGCGGCGATGGCGGCAGCCTTATCGCTCGGGGCGGCTGGAAGCGTCGCGACACGAATCATGGGCGGTGGGGTTGGAGGCGGAAGAGCATGATGCGGAGAGACGGGAAAAGACGATGAGATTCCGCTCGTAGGCTGTAGGAACAAAATGTCTCGTGATGAAAAAGACGGAAGGTGTCGTCGTCGTCGTCGTCGTCGTCGCGGTCGTCGCGTTGCAGACTTGAACCTCCCTCTTTCTGCAGCGCTCCAGGATCGGTGGATGCAGGAGGAGTTGACGTCGGGAGCTCGGATGAGGTGGACTGTGTGAGGTCAGGTCCTTGTCGCGTGCGCCGTACATAGCTTGGGGCGAATGGTAATTAGCCGGGGTCCGAAAGACGAATAAGATATGTGAAGCGCCGCGGCGCCGCGGGTTGAGGTCACTGTACATTACATTACCTAGGTACCTGAGGTAGGTACCTAAGTAGATGAAACTGTGGGTAACATAGCCAGCCATCTCATCTTCTACGCGACCTCATCAAAGCGACAACCTACCTTAACCAGAGATTTGCCAACTACCCAAGGAATCGAGCAATGATATCTAGAACACCTAAGCTAATTAATCGTGTTTCTGCAGTGTGATCGTCTCTAGAGCTTGAAGTGCGGATGCACGGATGTGGTACGTTTACGGACCAGACCACCAGTGTGGCCAACATAACCACGTCAGTCCATAAGAGACCCAAGTTTGGCCAGCTCAATAACCTTCTTATTTCAATACACACACACTAGTGTTGATATCGATATACGGTCGTCTCTTTATTTTCCTCCGTGGCGGCATAAGGCCTGTTACCTTAGTCTTTCCATCGCTTCTGTACATTATCCACTTGCCAAGCGGCGATGCTGTGTAGAGATCCGTTGATAAGCCGCTATGGCGATTCGCCTTGTCGTTGCAACCCTCTGTCCTGTATTTTGCGGCGGAAGGCCGCCAGAAAGCACTGCCATGCCCGGGCAATGGCTCCAACACGTCTCGAGCCGTGGTCCTCATCCATGTGAAAGGCATCAGTGCCGGTGAGGTCGACCTAGCCTTTCTTCCTATGTCCGACAATACTCTGACTGATCACAGACACCCCCACGTCATCTCCATCAGGTCATCGCGACATGCCCACGCTAATGTGTAATTTGTTGTATCGCCCATTCGAGGTGACCGAGAAGGCGCTGCGTATCCAAGCTCAATAAACGAGGTTGGATGGGTTCAATTTAGCTATACGGTGGCTGGTTGTCCTGGAGCCTTTCCAGAACAGCACGGTAGCTGCCTTTCGACGCCTGGATAGCCCGGCCCACCAGCTTGGTATGAAGTAGGGGATCTGACGGTGGGAGTTGACCCTTAACCCAGAGATTCGTGATTTCGGCGCGGCTGGGCAAGTAGGCGACACAGCAAGCAGCGAGAATTCGTTCGTGCTCTATGGATACGGGATCCAAGACGATTGATGGTGCCGACGGGTCGGTATCGTCTCCATTGACAAGTGCAGCAACACCGCCAGTGACCATGTCCACGCAGTCAATACCGGCGTCCGCGAGAGCAGCAGCAGCAACTGTGATGCAGCCGCTCAAGACGTTCATCATGTCCCACTCTTCGTTGCCCTGAGCATGAGATGCCTCCCTCTCTTGGTCGCCCTCAATGACGGTGACGATGACGTCAACGCCACTTTTCGGCCATCTGTCGGCGATGATAACCCCACGCAACGCAGTGTCGAGATGAACGCTCAGATCTCTCTCACTCGAGTCGCGGAGATAGCCTCTGCGCTGGCGCGTAGCGAAAGGAGCGTATTTGACGTGAGTTGAGAGCACCAGATAAGGTGAAAAGGGTGCTGAACGAGGAAGCGATCGGGGGCCGTGGACGGTGCATATGAGCTTCATGCCATTGATCTTGGATCTTGCGTTAGCGTGACCCTCAGGGGTTTCAATCTCCATGTAGGCCGAGCCCGAAGCCGTGGGCGTGATGCCGGTCTTGAGAACTGATGAAATTGTTAGTGTCGGCGAGCACACAGAGACGTCGACGCGAAAGGTGAACCAACACAGTCCTCGAATACCGTTCGGCGGCCTTGCTCGACGGCTTTGCTTGGAACCAGAGACTTCGTACACAGGCGGCAATGTGGCACCGGGTGGCCCGTTGATTCTGCGTCGATCGGCCATGGCGAGGTAGAGGAACTTGAGTGTTTCTGTTTGAGATGACGGGAGCTTTACGGCCTCAGCTATCGCTCGGATTCTGCGGGGTGCTTCTCCGCGTGATATGAGCTTGACGCGTACGTCACTGGCGAATCTAGATGTGCCACTGGGACGGCGGCAAAGTAGTGATCTGATGCGTTCGGTCAAACTGTCGTTCGGGTTAACGACAGTCTCAAAGTTGATGGGGGTGAATTTTCAGGCTACGCTTTACTGAGACGTTTAGGTCCGCCTAGAGAGGTAGCTGCGACCGGTTTACTGAATTTTTCTGGCACCGACCAGACCCGCCCACGCAAGCGAATCCAAGTGGGTACATGCATATATCCACCGTAGCGGGCAACTACTTCAAGCTCAAAATTTTCTTCCGCTTCACATTTTGACCAGCACCAACTCCCATTCTTCATCGTTGAGAAACCCTCAACACCACCAACAGTCCCAAGCAGTGGCCTACCGTGCTGTCCTGTATGGTAAGTCTCCAGAGTCTTCTCTCGCACATCTCCTGCATATGATGCAACATCTTCCACTAGTTCACGCGATTTCCTGAGCGCACGAACAACATGCACTACCATCTGATCTTTACCTCCTACGGGACACTTTTTTTATGATCACATTTGGACCATACGATGTTCTAAATCAGGTGCTGACTTCAAGCCAGGTTTTTTTCGCTGTTCTCTTTTTTCTCTTCCTCTCTGCACTTTCCAGTCTGGGGGTTGCGAATGTGGCCAGTCCGTTTTTGCATCGGTAAGTTTGTTGCACTTCTGTCTCTGCCGTACTTGTCTTTCCCCATCCTGTCTATGATGAACAAACTTTTCATTCAGTTCTGCTACTGAAATCTGTGATGATACCCAATTACCAAAAAACCTTTGTCTGATAGACGCTCACATTATTCCCATTGTTGGATGACGCAAGAAGGAATTGTTTTTGCTAACCGGAATCCATCTTCAGTAGAATCGTGTTCCCTCTTTCCCTGACAATCGGTTGCGGCTGGCTGTTGGGTTTGGACATTCGAGTATTGGCCGTCAACTCGCAAGGTAAGAACTTTTTTCCCCCTTACCCCCTCCCTACGTCCGTTGTCGGCGCTCAGAGAGCGCTGCTCATCTTGATGATGACCACAGCTTATCCATTCAACTATGTCAAGTCGGCCGAGCCGTTCTTCCACACTGGAGCCCTTCTCGAAGGTGCGAGGAAGGTGGTGAAGTTGGTTCCTTCGGGGCCGTGATTCAGCTTCAGTGTCTCGCTTCCCGGTCCCTCGTTCTGATGTTCCGGGTTGCTGGGGCCGGCTCGACTGAATGAGTAAAATGGCTTGTCTGATCAGATACTTTCATCTCTATTCTTAACCAGTGGGCCAGTTGTTCCGCAGCTAACGTGGCTTGTTTAGTTGGATACTCTCGATTTCTCGCACATTTTCTCGCCACATGATCTCTTGCGGAGACGGATAAGTCGTGACATGATAACCTCGTACGCCCTGCCTACTGTGACCCTTGGCCCCACGTTCTCTAAAAGTCGATGACGCTGCTGTCGCTTCGAGTGATTTCTTGCGCAAAACCACACTGCACAACTTGTGATTGCCTGAATGAATTTCCTACAACCCTTCTCATACCATCCGTTGATGCTAATGGAGTGTTCCACTGCGCTGATGTCAAGTGAACACAGCGTCCTTCGCGCTGCCGGACACGTTCCCACCAGCTTCTGAGTCGCTTAACCTGCATGGAGGCGTCGTAGATGACTTACTCGCCAGTCCCTTGCATAGATTGCCAGACGCGAGCGGCATCTTATTCGACTTGGTAAGTCAGGACGGTCATCGCTGAGCCAGCTAGACCCGCCAAAATAAACTATCAATAGAGACAGTCCAAAGTGAGGTCTCAACGTCAGTCCTTAAGGTGAGCTGAGGTTGTACTTGAGGGGGGATCCCTGTTGGCATGGTCCAGCCAATGAGGTAGGTCTCGCAGCTTGAACTCAAGACAATCAAATCCACTAGGCTGTGCCCCTACAGTACTGGTGCAGGGGAACACAGGCCACCTAAGGCGCATCCGCGTCCCTACCCCTACCTTAATAAGACGCGAGAAAGACAGCACGCTGCAGTCGCAGTCCGTACCTGGACCTCAACTAGACCTGAAAATAAAATAACACCTTCGTACCAGCCTACCTGACGGCGTCCGACTGAGCCTCCTTCCCCCCCTGTATCTGGGCCAGCAACGCGACCCTCCGTCTCCCGTCTCCAACATCTACCCGGCTGCCCCTCTGACGACTGCCATTAGTCCTCACGATCACGGTTTCGATCACCCGAGAGACGCCACATGTCCTCAAGGTGACGATCGTTCCGCCGTTACTCCAGATCACACTCCATCGAAAGCCCTAGGCTCTACTGTTCCATCGCAGCATTCAGTATACGCCAAAGAGCTATTCCGAATAGATGCCCTCGTCTGCTTGAACACCACGAATTTGGAGTTCCGGGCGAGCTGCTCCGTTGCCGTTTCAATCTTGATTTTTCCCAGTTCGGGGCTTAGTCCCTCCAGCCAGTGCCCTGGATGTTGCCGTCATATGCATCCTCCGGCTCCAAGGTGATGCCTCGTCATCACACAGGCGGCTTCTCCAATGGATACCCAAGGGGCAACACGTTCGAGATATCTCCCCATAGGTGCGTTTGTCCTCCGTTTTGCGCTTCGCTCTCCGACTGATTTCTCTTTTCTCCACAGATACCAGCCACGAGCAACGCCCGCGAACCGTCGCCGACAGCGCCTCTTGACCCGTCTCGCGATCGTTGCCGTCGTCGCCATCTTCTTTCTGGTCTTCATCTGGCCTGGCGCCTCGCTGACATCGATCGTCTCCCTCGGCCTGCTTTCTGCGAGCGACGACCTGCAATTGGAAACAGTGCGATACTATGATCTCACCAACGTGCAAGGCACGGCCCGTGGCTGGGAGCGCGAGGAGCGCATCCTTCTTTGCGTTCCTCTACGAGACGCTGAGAACCATCTGCCGATGTTCTTTTCCCATCTGCGCAATTTCACCTACCCGCACCATCTCATCGATCTTGCCTTTCTCGTATCCGATTCCAAAGACCGAACCCTCGAGGTCCTTTCAACAAACTTAGAAGATCTCCAAGCCGATGAGGATGCCAAGCAGCCGTATGGCGAGATTTCCATCATCGAGAAGGACTTTGGGCAAAAAGTGAATCAAGACGTCGAGAGCCGTCACGGCTTTGCGGCGCAAGCGAGCAGAAGAAAGTTGATGGCGCAAGCCAGGAACTGGCTCCTGAGCGCAGCCCTGCGACCCTATCACTCCTGGGTGTATTGGCGCGACGTCGACGTCGAGACAGCACCGTTCACTATTCTCGAGGACTTGATGCGACACAACAAGGATGTTATCGTGCCCAGTAAGTCAACACCGTTAACACGATACAGCGCTGTGGTCAGACTGATCAAATGATAGATGTTTGGCGTCCCCTGCCGGACTGGCTTGGAGGCGAGCAGCCATATGACTTGAACTCTTGGCAGGAGTCAGAGACGGCATTGGCTCTCGCCGACACGCTGGATGAAGATGCCGTGATCGTCGAGGGATACGCTGAATATGCCACCTGGCGTCCTCATCTTGCGTACCTAAGAGACCCTTACGGCGACCCAGACATGGAGATGGAGATTGACGGAGTGGGGGGTGTCAGTATTTTGGCCAAGGCCAGGGTCTTCAGGTCAGGTGTCCATTTCCCGGCTTTTAGTTTCGAGAAGCATGCCGAGACGGAAGGTTTTGGGAAGGTAAGTTGAAGAACACGTCAACGGAAAGGCATCGCAGCTGATGAGGTTAACGCAGATGGCGAAACGGATGGACTATTCGGTCGTAGGGCTGCCACACTACACGATTTGGCATCTCTACGAGCCAAGCGTGGATGACATCAAACACATGGAGGTACGTGGCTGTATAGCGGTGAAACAAAGCAGATGGAGACTGACACCGTACAGGAGATGGAACAAGAGAGGCTTGCTCGGGAGAAAGAAGAGGAAGAAAAGGAAGAAAAGGCCAAGAAGGTTAAGGAGCAGTTCGGGGACGCAAGCAGTCAATGGGAGAAGGATAAATCAGACATGCAAAATCTCGCAACGCAGGAGAAGAAGGGCAAAAAGGACCGAAAGGACCGAAAGGACAGCAAGGAGACAACGGAGAAGTCGGATAAGCAAGAGACGCCGGGAAAGACAGAGCGCTTTGCAAAGAAGGAAACATCGGAAAAGAAAGAAAGCAAGGAGAAAGAGGGCGGAGAGTTCGCCAAGAAGGCGGAAAGCTAAGGGGTGTTGAATTACTCGGATATTCAGATGCAGCTGTAGTTTGACCATTTCCATTTGCATATTGATGTGGGAACCTAATTCCCATAGTCGAGCAACTACATGCCCAGGGCTGGTCATCAGCTGCGTTTTTGCATTATGAGGTGTACTATACCAAATGAGGCTGTACTTCTTCTATCCGGGGTACAGTTGGATGATTCCATCAGTCTTTCCCATTGGAAAGAATTGGTGCTCGGTTGTAGAAAGGCGTTGGTAACATTGCAACGTGGCTGGCACCACTGTAGATGTCTCAACAGCGGCCGCTATTTCATCACGACACGCGTTCACCAGCCCCTAGCGTTCTTTCAGGGCATGCGCGAGCGGTACTCATACAAAGGTTACTTCGATGACTTAGTATTTCAACTTTCTAACCTGCTAGGTAGGTACCTGAGGTAGGTAGAAATAAAGTGTGGTGTACAGACTGCTAGGTATCCCATATTTCTCGCCGACAATGCAGGTATTTACAACTTGGAAATGATGGCGCCGGCAAACTCGCTGGTCTTGGCCTTACCGCCCAGGTCACCAGTCAGGGCCTTTCCTTCCGCGAGGGTATCAAAAGCAGCCTTCTCGATTCTGTCGGCGTACTCGCCGAGACTCATGTGACGCAGCATCATCATGGAGGAGAGCAGGAGAGCAGTGGGGTTAGCCAGGCCCTTGCCGGCGATGTCGGGGGCGGAGCCGTGGACGGCCTCGAAGATGGAGCACTCGTCGCCAATGTTGCCGGAGGGGGTGAGACCGAGACCACCAATGAGACCGGCGCACATGTCGGACAGAATGTCACCGTACAGGTTGGGCATGACGAGAACCTTGTCGTTGTAGGGGAGAGGGTCGGTGGTCATCTTAAGGCAGGTGTTGTCGAGGAGCTCGGCGTCAAATTCGATGTCAGGGAAGTCCTGAGCGACCTCGCGGCCGGTCTTGAGGAAGAGACCGTCGGACATCTTCATGATGGTGGCCTTGTGGACGACGCGAACCTTCTTGCGGCCAATCTCGCGGGCCTGCTGGAAGGCGAAGCGGAGAACGCGCTCAGAGGCTTCGCGGGTGATGAGCTTAATGGATTGAACGACGCCATCGACGACGACGTGCTCAATGCCGGAGTATTCACCCTCGGTGTTCTCGCGGATCAGGACGGTGTCGACGTTGTCGTACGGGGTCTTGTAGCCGGCGACGGATCGGCAGGGACGCAGGTTGGCAAAGAGGTTGAAGGTGCGGCGGAGAGTCAGGTTGAGGGAGACGTGACCCTTGCCAATGGGGGTCTACAGCGTTACGGGGTCAGAGGGATTCATCTACAAGGCTTCGGCACACGGGAAACATACGGCAAGAGGACCCTTAAGGGCGATCTTGTTGCGCCTGATGCTCTCGATGGCGGCATCAGGGATGGCAGTCTTGCCGTCCTTGAGGATGGGAGTGACATCGACGGGCTCCCAGGTGACGGGGGCCTTGAATCAGTTGTCAGTACGAAACCATGCCTGATTATTCGACGAGGCGCAAATGGACTAAACGTACCTTGGCCGCGGCAAAGATGTCCTTGACGGCCTGAGAGATCTCGGGACCGATACCGTCACCCTCAATCAAGCTGACCGGGTAGTTGCCCTGCAGAATGGGAATGCCCTGTCAGTATCTAGTAGTCTGACATGTCGCAAGCTGAGCGTCGCTAATTGAGCCATTTCACCTAGACAACGGCGAGGCCGAATTGTTGCAATTGGACGCAAAACTTTATGGGGACGGGCAGAGACGGTAACATCGAAGAGGGACGTACGTTGGAGTCCTTGACACCGTTGAACTTGGCGACGCGGTCGCTGCTGTAGAATCGGGAGTTCTAAATGAGGTCGTTAGCTAGTCTGGTCATCTTCAATCGCTGTGCGGAGGCTCGAGGCTGCGGGTTGCACGTGGATCTTGAGGGGGCACATCGGGAGATCGGGAATCGCCAATTGCGCACCTGGAACTGGGAAAAGACGGCGGCGCGGGGAGCAGCGCGCAGGACTTGCCGCCTCATGGGCGCAGCGAGGGTACGGGAGGCCAGCATCGTGACTGAAGTGTGAAGCGTAACGGTCCTTTGGAGGGGAAAATTACACCAAAGTTTAGGAATCGGGAGAAAGCGGCTGGTCCTCGGTATCGGAGGTCGGGGATATTAAAAAAAAAAAAAAAAAAAAAAATAGCTCATATGCAACACCGAGGAGTGACTTTCCACGTAAGGAAGAACATTATGTAAGGTACCTTACCCAAGGTTTGTAGTAGACGACCTGTTTACCTGGTTAGATCCGACGGTACCTTAGGCACCACTCAAATCCGCAGCTACCAACTTACCTACCTACCTTCTTAACTTGCATGCTGGGCGATCGCATTACCTAAGCTGAGTTTCGTTCCATTCTGCCTTGGAGCGCCCGGGCACCTAAGAACCAGCCTGGCACTGCCCGTACCTTACGTAGGTACCGAACACTAGGTGCTGCAGTTGCAGTCCACTGCCGTCAAGCACAGCAGGACTGGAGTCTCGATCTGCAACCTGGTCAATTCCACCTTCAGGAATGCTTTTTGGCGGCTGCTGTCTTGGACAAGACACATCACTCTCAACCCCTCCACATCGCAGATCGAAAGCCTCAATAGCCAAAAGGTCTCCTCCCTTTATGCATTTTCTCGAGTCTCAACCAACCCCATCAATGTACGATCGACGCGCCTAAACAAGTCGACTCTACCGTTCCCCTCCTCATTCTCGAATCTCCTCACGCCCGCCGAGAGCAACTTGTCGAACACCCAACCTTGCGCGCATACACCCGGCCACGCCTACATCAGAGTCCGCCACCAAAATATCATGATTCGAGATGTCGATGAGTCGCAGTACCTCGAGGCAGCGCCTGCCGTCGCCCATCGCCCTAGCCTAGACCTCTGCAGACCCATGGGCCCTTCCGCTATACCCCCGAGGATGCAATATCGAAGTCGACCCGTCTCCGTGGCCGTGGATCCAGTATCGCTGGTCTTGTCCGAATGTATGGCCATCACATCGGCCATTCATAAGCATGCGCGCTCAGGCTCTAGTGTGTCCGCCATCCTGGGCGGGAACCCGAACCCGATTCACTTGGCTACTTCGGGTCCTTCGTCTAGGGGATCGAAAGCTACTGGTGCCGCTCTCGGCGCTGAGGGTCCTCAAGATATCGCAGCCGTCAACAGATGGGGCTTGCGTGGGAAGAAAGGCCGCAGCATACAGGACAATCCTCTCATGGCGGGGTTTGGCAAGCTACGCCATGAGCTGGCCAGCGTCAGAGGTAAGGAAATGCCCGCCTTTTTCCCTGTGCTTTCTGCACGACTCGCTTTACTGACCGCAGATCATATTGTAGATATCCATGCATTCGATGCCCTGTCCCTCCTGAACCCGTTTCTACAGATCATTCAAACCAAGGGCACCGCCGCGCCTATAACAATTCTCACACTCGGCGCGCTCGGCAAGTTTCTCGCCTACGGATTCATTAGCCCGACTTCTCCCAGGTTTGCTCTCGCGATGCAGTCCCTCGCTGCAGCAGTCACTCGGTGCCAATTCGACGGCGATTCCAGCCAGGTGGAAGTTGTCCTACTCATGATTCTCCAACTCATGGAGAGCATGATGTCCGGCCCGGGAGGTGATATACTCAGCGATGAGAGCGTTTGCGACATGATGGCGAGAGGGTTGGCCATTTGCTCTCAGCCGCGCTTCTCTGCTGTCCTCCGCCGAACAGCCGAGGCCTCAATGGTTCGCATGTGCCAGATCATCTTTGAAGACGTGAAGCACCTCGAGGTCGAGGCTGGGGACGAGTCGGATGCTCTCGACAAGCAGACCATCGCAGACATGGACAGTGTCAAGATGGACCCTGCTGCGACCACCGCCAGCGGTCTACGAGCACCGCCGTCGGAGCCCGAAGCCCGCGTATCGACATCGAGTTCGACGCCCCTGAACCCGAACCGCCCGGCTCAAGGGAGCTCGGACTCTGGTGATAGCAAGGCCGATGCCAGTACTGGCAGTGAGCTGGAGGGAGACGGCGAGGGCGAAGGCGAGGGCGAAGAAAGCGCCGAATCTCTTGACCTGCGGCCCTACTCGCTACCCTCAGTTCGGGAGCTATTCCGCGTATTGGTCGATTTCTTGGATCCCAACGATCACCAGCGCTCGGACACGATGAGAATCATGGCTCTGCGCATCATTCATGTGGCGTTGGAGGTGTCCGGCCCATTCATTGCTCGGCATCCAGCTTTAGCCGGTATCGCGGAAGACAGGCTCTGTTGTTACCTTTTCCAGCTTGTGAGGTCTGATAACATGGCCCTCCTACAGGAGTCTCTCACGGTTGCTGGCACGTTACTCTCCACTTGCCGCAGCGTCCTCAAGCTGCAACAGGAACTGTTCCTATCGTATCTTGTTGCGTGCCTCCACCCGTCCGTAGAAATACCTCGCGAGCCCGGTGTCGATCCTGCATTGTACGCTGGAATACCGCAATCCCCTAAGCTCGTGAAGCCACCGCCAAACAGCAGCGGAAACACGAGCGGGCGATCGACTCCAGTGCCGGTGAAGGACCGGCAAAAGCTAGGCCTTGAGGGCGGCGCAAGAAAGCCTGATGCGCGACAGGCCATGGTCGAGAACATTGGTGTCTTGTCACGAATGCCAACTTTCATGGTCGAACTCTTTGTCAACTACGACTGCGACGCCGATCGCGCTGACCTATGCGAAGACATGATTGGTCTTCTCTCAAGGAACGCACTTCCCGACTCTGCGACGTGGAGCACCACAAGCGTCCCTCCGCTCTGTCTGGATGCGCTCCTCCGATACATACAGTTCATAGCCGAGAGGCTAGATGAAACACCCGTTACCGACGGCTATATGGATCCCGCCGAATTGAGGGAGCAGAGACGAAAGAAGAAGATCATCATCAAAGGGACGAGCAAGTTCAACGAAAACCCCAAGGGCGGCTTGGCCTATCTTGAGGCGCAGGGCATCATCGAGGACGTCAAAAATCCTGTCGCGGTGGCCAAGTTCCTGAAGGGGACATCCCGGGTGTCGAAAAAGATCCTCGGCGAGTACTTGTCCAAGAAGGGAACCGAAAGCGTGCTTGAGGCGTACATGAACCTCTTTGACTTCTCGGAAAAGCGAGTCGACGAGGCGCTCAGAGGACTTTTGGAGACATTCAGACTTCCCGGGGAGTCGGCGTTGATCGAGAGGATTGTTACCTGTTTTGCCGACAAGTACTGCTCCAAGGCCACGCCAACGGAAGTTGCCAACGCAGATGCGGTCTTCGTCCTGACGTATGCCATCATCATGCTGAATACGGATCAGCATAACCCCAACCTCAAGGGCCAGAAGCGCATGACTGTGGAAGACTTTGCGCGGAACCTGAGAGGGGTCAACGACGGCAAGGACTTCGCTCCCGAATACTTGCAGGAGATCTTTGACGAAATTCGAACGAACGAGATTATCTTGCCCGATGAGCACGACAATAAGCATGCTTTCGACTATGCCTGGCGGGAGCTGATTATCAAGTCCGAGTCGGTGCAGCCGCTGGTCCTTTGCGATACCAACATCTACGATGCCGACATGTTTGCTGCTACATGGCGCCCCATCGTGTCGACGCTCGCCTACATTTTCCTTCAGGCTAGCGATGACTCTGTTTTTGCGAGGATTGTTACCGGGTTCGACGAGTGCGCTCGGATAGCTGCCAAGTACAACAACGCGGAGGCACTTGACCACATCGTCTTCTCGCTGAGCCACATGACGACGTTGGCCACCGAGACCCCCTTCAACACAAGCTTAAATACCGAAGTCCAAGCTGGCGAAAGCAGTGTGATGGTCAGTCAGTTGGCGGTCCAATTGGGCAGAGACTTCCGCGCGCAGCTGGCCACCTTGGTTCTTTTCCGTGTGGTTACCGGCAACGAACGCATGCTTCGCAAGGGTTGGAAACACGTCACACGCATCTGGCTCAATCTGTTTGTCAATTCCCTGGTCCCTTCTTTCTTCCAGGAGAACTCGCCCGTCATGGACATCATACCCATTCCATTACAGACACCATCACAGGTCATTGATCGAGCTTCCAAGGAAGTGGAGACGGGTTTCTTCTCAGCATTTGCCAGCTACATTTCGTCTTATGCTGCTGACCTTCCACCGGAACCTTCGGACGAGGAGCTCGAGAGTACTCTTTGCACTGTTGACTGTGTAAACCAGTGTCGCATGGGTGAGGTTTTTGCTAACATTGCAAAGCTCACGCCCAACGAATTGGAGCCGCTGGTCGATGCACTTCTGGACGCTCTGCCCGAGGATCACAGTTCGACGGTGATAGTGGTCAAATCAGACAATGTCCCAGCCTCGCCCATAAACGGGCAGAAGGCGGCACAGACTGGTGTTGTGTACGACCCGGCGATTGCCTACATACTGGAGTTCAGTACAGTGCTTGCTCTGCGCGACCAAGAAACAGTCGAGCTTATTGGCAAGCGCGTCATCGAGGCATTACAGGCAGTACTTCGAGACGCAGGGCGGTACCACTACATACTCGTGTCAAGAGCCGCGTTCTACCTTTTCAAGCTCTTGCAAGTCAGCTACGCACATGACTATATCAATGTGCCGGTTCTTCTCCACACCATCTCAAGCTTGGCAAAGGACGTCCTCGCGAAGGCTTCCGTCCAGGTTCTCCAGGGCTTGAGACTGTGCGTTGACGACCCCAGTCCGCTTCGTAACGAGATTATGACTTCCCCGGACTTCTGGGCCATCATGCGAGCCCTGGCCCTGCGTCAAGACTCCGCACCGGTTGTGTTTGAAATCCTCGAGCTGGGCTGTGGCGGATCGCCGCCGGCCATCATTGCCGACAACTACGAAGCCGCCATCAGTCTTCTCGGGGAATTCGCGTCTGGCGCTGGCCGAGCCGTTCTTGCAGATGCTAAGCAGCGCAAGACTCGAGAGGGCATGCGCGAGAGCCCCAGTCTGAACGAAGCCATTTCACGGGGCTCCAAAGCAGTCAGCACCATCTACAGTATGACGGCGCGCATTCCATCTTTGATGAAGCAGTCCCATCTTGAGAATAACGAAGCATGGTCTGCGTACTGGCTGCCTATATTCCAGGCTCTCACGACGCAGTGCACAAACTCCTGTAGAGACGTCCGCCTTCAGGCTTTTACTTCGCTACAGAGATCACTGCTATCCCCGGATCTTACCTGCAGCGATCACAAAGAGTGGATAGCCATCTTTGGCGAAGTCCTGTTCCCGCTGATCCACAAGCTGTTGAAGCCGGAAGTCTTCTCGTCAGATCCTGTAGGGATGAGTGAAATGCGGGTGCAGGCAGCCTCGTTGCTGTGCAAAGTTTTCCTCCAATATCTGGTCCTCCTTTCAAAGTGGGACGAAATGTTGGATTTGTGGGTGAAGATTATCGATATCATGGATCGATTGATGAACAGTGGCCAGGGTGACAGTTTGGTATGTTGATTCCGCAAATCTCGCAGTTGACCGACGGATACTAACAGTAGGCGCGAAGGAGGAGGCTGTTCGAGAGAACCTGAAAAACGTGGTACTTTTCCTAGCGAGCAGCGGGTATTTGGTCGCACCCAGTAAGGATTCTTCAAAGGAGAACCTGTGGAATGAGACATGGAAGCGGATTGATCGTTTTCTGCCAGACTTAAAAAACGACCTAGCTCTAGAGGAGCCTAAGGCTAAAGCGGAGCAAGCTCCAGCGGTCGAGGCAAATGCATAGACGTTTATAAGACTCTAGTTGTGATAAGGTAGCTGTGTTAGTAATATTCTCTTATATAAAGTAATATAGAGATCAACTATTCTACTTATATTATATACTTTCTACTCTTTACTATAGATAGTAAAAGTTATAATAGAGTGCTTTAATTATAAATTAAACTTAAGTCTACTTTATAAAGTAAATACCTTACCTCTAATTAGTATTTAATTATAATATACTATAAGTAGTATATTATATAGCTTACTCTATAAATAAGAAATAATAAATTATAAATTATAAATAAAAATATTATAAAAATATAAACCTTTAAGCTAGCTTAATTAACTAACGTAGATTATTATTAAATAGCTAGTAAAGTATAATTTATACTTTATAGAAACCCCTATATTAATAGATTTATAACTATTAATATCTCTAAGCTTTAATAAGCTTTAATATTAGTATATAGATACTAATAACTTATTAATATAAATAATATTTATTAATAATTTAATTTTATAATTAATAAATTATAAAGTTTTATATTTAAAGATATAAACTTAAATAATAATAAAAAACCTTTATATTAATATTTATTAAAGTATTAATAATTATATATACTTAATTATTATACTTAAAGGATTAATATACTAATTAAAGCTATATTAAAGAAGTATAAATAAATTATAAGCTTAAGAGAGAGCTGAAGCTATAAAGTTATAAATTCTATATTACTTTTATTATAGTCTTCTTATTAAAATATATTTATATAAAAATATTTTAAACTAAAATATAAAAGTAAAAGTTTTTCTCTATTTAGTAGATAGGGGACTTTTTACCCTTTAAGTAGAAAAGTATAAATATACTACTTTTAGTTTAAAACTTATTTATACTATAAGGATTTTCTATTTAATAACTAATAATTTAGTTCTAAATATATATAACTATATAATAGTTTAATAACCTTTATAATTAATTAATACTTTTAATAATATCTCTTTAGTTTATAACTTTTATTTTACTTTTAATATAATATTCTTTTTTATATATTTAATATAATTAATATATTTTAATATAATTATATTTAATATATATTTATATTATAATATATAATAAAGATTTTATAGCTTTTAAATTATATTATATTTTTCTTTTCTTAACTTTTAGTTTATTTTAATTTTATTTTATATTACTTTATATTTTATAATTAAGTTTATATTTATCTTAAAGGTATTTTCTCTTTATATTTCTTTTTATAAAATAGTTAATATTATAATATTAATAAAGAAAAATATATCTTTAAAGATAAACTAATACCTAGCTCTAAATAAGCTTTATAGTAGTTTTTTAATATAAAGTTCTATAATATATTTATTATAATAATAATACTTTAGCTTATATTATCTCTTAATAAAATAAATAGATATAATTTATAATTAAATTAGTATTAATATATTTAGCTTAACTAAAGTTTTTAGATATATATATTATTTATAAGAGCTATAGGAAAAGTATAAGGGGAGTAAATAATAAACTTAATTATTAATAGGTAATAATAATAGCTTAAACCTATTATAAAGATATTAAACTTTTTAATTATAAATCCCTCTTTATAATACCCTTAAGGTTCTTTAGCTAAAATAATATCTCTATTATAAATCCCTCTTTATAATACCTTTAAGGTCCTTTAGCTAGAATAATATCTCTATTATATTATTAAGTAGGCCTATAAAGCTAGCTATTATCCTAATTTTTAGGCTAAAAGCTTATTTCTTATTTTCTTTTTTTATTACTATATTTAAATCCTTTCTCTAAGATATTATTTAGTATACCTCTTAATAAGTATAATAATATAAAGGCTTTAGCTATTAAGGATAATATTTAAAACTTAAGCTTTAGATATAAAGACTTAAAGACTTTAGCTAAAAAGAAAACTTTTATAGAATTTATCTTTAATTATAAACTATTTTTTAAACTTATTTTACTTTTTTTAGAGTATTTAAATAATAAAGAAACTAAAATAAAGCTATTTATATAGATTTATATTAATTTATTTACTTATATATACTTTATAGACTTCCTCTAAATAGCTAGAGATCTAAAGCTTAAAGTTAAAAATCTATAAGTTAGACTTATTTAAAGTATTATAAATATAGGTAATAATAAGTAATAAAACTAATATAATAGTTTTATTAAATAATATTAATAGTAATAATAAATAAAAAGTTATATTTAAATTTTCTTAAAAAGCTTAATATTAATAATATAATAATATAATAATAATATAAGGTATTAACTTAATAGCCTTGAAGCTAATTATTTAGTAAATAGCTAGGAGGAGTAGCTTAGAGGAAGACTATTAAAGTATTAAATATATAGTAAAAGATTTATTGATATTATTATTATAATAGGGGAAGTTAAAGTATAAAGTAATAAATTAATAGCTAAAGTAGAAGCTTAAGCTTATATATAGGGTCTATAAGTTATATAGCTAAATAGCTATTAATTAGTTAGTAAGCTAAGCTAAACCTAAAGTAAGTTAAATATATAGTTTAAATTATAATATAATATCTAAAGGTATATTTATATAATATAAAGCTATAATATATATTATATATAGTTTTTAGCTA